TTGCATCCAGAACCCTGAATGACAGTGAAACACGATATAGTACCATTGAGAAAGAATTATTAGGCATAGTTTGGGCTTGCAAGTATTTTAGGCCATACCTTTTCGGCCGAAAATTCACAATATATACTGATCATCGACCTCTAGTTTGGTTATTCACAATGCGTGAACCCAGTAGTAAGCTCATACGCTGGAAATTTAGATTAGAAGAATTTGACTTTACCATTGTGTATAAAAAAGGAAAACTCAACGTAATTGCTGATGCTCTTTCAAGAATTCAAATCAATACACTTGAAAATAAAATTGATACAGAATCAATGATCAATAATCCAGGCGATATAGATCTAGACCAACAAAATACCCTTGAGTATTTACGAAATCTTGCAGAGAGTTTTTCAACATACGATATTGATAACGACAAAAATACTGAACCAAACCAAACCAGTAATGCAGAGACTATTGAAACCCAAATACCAGATTTACCTGATATCACTTTCGAACCAAGTACTTCTAAACAAAACCATGTAAAAATTGTGTCAGATATCCAAATTAAACCTCCTAAAAAGCCAACTTACTCTGACTTACAAACAGTACACACTACACAAAACGAAACAACAAATAATGGAATAAAAATTTTAGACGAATTGATTAACAATAAAGTAAATCAAATCCTTGTCTTCCCACGTGCCCATAATAAATTGGATGTTAAACAAGAAAATTATGAACATCATAAAATAATTACTGTGAAAATCCCTAAAATCAATAATGAAAAATTAATTTTCCAATTTCTTCGAGACTATACAATCACGGATAAAACGTATTGTATGTATTTCCATACAGCTGAATTATATCTTCAGTTCAATCAAATTGATCTACAACATTTCTCTGACCATGGCCCAAAATTATTAAGATGTACCAAATTATTAAACACCATTACTGACAAAGAAGAACAAATTTTATTGACAAGAAATCATCATGAAGGAAAAACTAATCATCGTGGTATCAATGAGACCATCGAATACCTTAAACGAAATTATTACTGGATAGGTATGAAAAATACTGTTTCCCAATATATCAATGTTTGTGATATATGTCAACGCGCTAAATACGCTAGGACAAAACCCTATCACCCATTTGTATTGACTGAGACACCCTCCAAACCTTTCCAAATAGTTCATATGGATGTATTTTTCTACAACAATAAAATATATCTAACTCTAGTTGATTCTTTTTCCAAATTCGCTCAAGCGATAGAAATTCTCAGTAAAAATGCCATCAATATATCAAATGCATTGATTAATTATTTCTCCTATTGTGGTATACCTGAAACCTTGATAGCTGATAACGGCACAGAATTCAATAATGACACGGTTAAAGAAATCATGAAAGTCCATAAAATAAAGATTCATTTCACCACACCACAACATCATGAGTCTAATAGTATTGCCGAAAGATTCCATTCAACAATAATAGAACATTTACGTCTATTAAAAGAATCATTTCCAAATGATACCAGTAGTCTGATGGATTATGCTATTATAGCTTATAATAGTTCCATACCTAGCGCTACAAACCATACCCCTTTTGAATTAACACACGGACATACTAACTCTAGAGACCCAAATGAGATTTTCATACTAAAAGAATTTTAGAGCGATTATGCCGAAAATCCTAAAAAGAAATTAGAACATGTTTATGAGAAAGTTAAAGAAAATCTTATAAACAACAAGAAAAAGGTAAACTCTAAACACAACGTCAAAGGTGACGAAAATCGAGATTTTAAATTAGACCAAATAGTGTTCAAACAAAATCCACTCAATCGAAACAAGAAAAATAATAAATTTATAGGACCATACATAATTACGAAAATATTAGAAAGAAATCGAGTAGACATAGCAAGAAAAGATAATCTTAATAAAAAAGAAATTATTCATGTCAGGGAATTAAAACAACCTCCTTGTATTGTTTCAGACTTGCTACCTACACTCAAGGCGAACTAGACAAACCAAAATATCATGACTTGACTGATAATCCAGGATTATTACCTCTGAAACTTGGCAACGCACAAAATCATATTAATTCTTGGACTTTTATACAAGTTTTCGACATATCAGGAATAATCGATAATTTCTACATATTAAGTGATCAATATGAACGTATCGAAAGAGCTTTTAATAATGACACCACATTAGTTAAGAAATATAGACACATTTTCGAAAATTCTCATAATTTAATGCTATCTTTTAAAACCAAAATAATGACACAAATTATGACACTAAACCCCGTAGGTACTAAAACCTAGACAAAAACGAGGACTTATTGACGGTTTAGGATCAATAATAAAATCAATCACAGGTAACTTAGACCAAAACGATGCTAAAAAATATGAAACAGCTATTGATACTCTATCAGGAAATCAAATGAAAATTAAAACCTTAGTAAAAGATCAGATCACATTATTCCAAAAGTCAATCCAAATATTTCAAGATAATATCCAAAATTTAACTAAAAATCAAAAAATATTGGATAAACGTGTTGAAGAAATCGAAACGGTTTTAAACACAAGAAAAAAAGAAGATGCGAATAATTTCTACTTCTTTTATATCGAAATGATAATTTCTCAAATAAGGACCGAATTTCAAACTATCTATGATATCTTAGAAAAAATTGAAACTGCCATTACCTTCTCTAAAATAAATACCTTCCATAATTCAATAATTAACTCCAACGAATTGATAAATGAAATAAAATCAATTTCTATTCACCTGGACGATAATAAATTACCATTCGAACCAAAAATCGAGAATTTGTTATTGTTTGAAAGAATACTAGAAATCAAAAGCTACGGAAAAGGTAATCAAATAATATTTATAGTTAAGATACCGATAGTTGAAAAAGAAAACTATAATTACTATCATTTATATGCACTGCCTATTGACAAAAATGATTCTTTTAAATTAATAATTCCAAATAACAAATATTTGATTATCAATGAGCAAAATCATTATTCCTCTGATAAACCATGCATCGAAATCATTCCTGAAGAATTTATCTGTCACGAAATGGATCCCACTAAAACTACAGAGGATTCACCATGTGAAACCCAGTTACTAAAATTCTCCCAAAACTTGTCAAATTGCCACCTGGTTCCTGTAAAAGTCAACCAACTGAAAATTCAGAAGATTGAAGCCAACCAATGGATACTACTGAGTCCAGAACATACTGTGGCAGCTCAAAAATGCGACAACCAGAACGAGAAGATACCCTTAAAAGGAACATATCTAATTGAACTCCCTCCTAATTGTGAAATCGAAATAATAGTTATTTATGATATAAGTGCTAAAAGTGACATTTTATTTTGTGAAAAGGGAAGTTTGGGACACGACGCCGAAGGCGGAGTGTTCCATCCCTTTAAACAAAATAAAATCACTTTTAGCACGAATATCATACACTATTTTTTCTACAAACGCACTAAAAGTGAGTACACTAGTGCTAAAAGTAATCACTTTTAACACCAGTGTCATAAAATGGCATTTTAGACACTGACTGCATCTGTTAAAAATGACACTTTTAGTGACGTTTGTAGAAAAATAACATTTATTTGAGAAACCTTAGTAGGTATTAAACGTCAATTCAAAAATATTAACTTTCCCAAATTAAACTTTGAATTATTAATGGTTCATTTACATTCACTTTAAAGTCCAATTTGTCTTGAAATTGACGTGCTTGCCATATGGCGACAGCACAGATTCATTTACATTGAAACATAGACCATTGAAATAAATTTGAAGTTCACTTCGAAGTGCACTTTAAATTTGGGCGAGCTGCTAGCCGAGGGCAAGCAGAAATTTGTGAAATGTCAAATTTTTAAATTATCCATTTGATTCTCATAAAATTCTGACATTTTGACTTGAGGTTTTTGTTCTGCAATGTAAATGATAAAATATCAAACGTCAAATTTAACTTGAAGTTGGAAGTGAATGTAAATGCTCCTTAAAAGATAAAATTGTCACTAATATCAAACCTGTCAAATTAGATGATAAATGAAATCAATTCAGTCAAGAACGCCTTAGAAATCGAAGAAAAGAAGATCAACCAAATCGAAGAACAATCAATCAACTTCAATACTATTAATGGCTGGACAATAATAACTTATCTAATAATTTTTGTAATAATTATCTTTGTCCTTTTTAAGCTTTACAAGGATAGAATATTTTCAAGAAACTCAAGAAAGAAGAAAGAAGAACCCGAAGAAGAATCCCCCAGCCAACCATCGCCAAATTCTGGTCCTAACCCCAGAATTTTACACTAAGGACGGAGGAGTTATGGACACTCTATACATGGCCTCTTACCTCTTATGATGAGAACCTGTAACAACAATCAGACTTCGGGCGACCCACACGATTATTACTGCTGACTTTACATTTATACCATTTTATTTAAGCCATTGTAACGGATGAAAATTCGTCTTTATTCATTTGTATTTCGACTAATAAAGTCCCTGCTTTTAAAAGTTTGTTTTTTAAAAAGTAACTTGCCCTAACCGAACCTAAAATTCGCGTCTGCGTTACGTAAGGCGTCCAAATATCGACGTCTGCCAGCCGAATTAGGTATCTAGGAGTTTTTCTCTACACATTCTGAAATTTTTAGGCATGTACCAATGAGATAACTAAACCCAGATTTTCGTCTTTTTGACGAGCTGTCATTTGTGAAGTTGACCGCTGGACCCCGGCAGACGGCCGGTTTTAAGATATGCACATAAAAGTAATTTTATCCAAGAAACGCAAACCTTTTGTACCCGATGAGGTAACTTATGTGCTTCTCGGCCGTAAGTCTATCAGGTATGTCTGAAATTCGTTGCCTGAAGAGTGTTAATCGTCTTCCAGTTTGGCAGTGAACGTCCAACTGAAAATGAAAGTAACAATAGGGTAGAGCCGACAATCATTTTTTTTTTCGACGGTTGTTTTGTTTATAAAAGAAATAAAAATAGGATTTTAATGGTTTTGAACTAAGTACTTAATTTATTTACTCAATTTTGTACCTACATATGCTCGTTATAAAAAAATGATCTTGCAATATTGAACTAATGAGATTTTTTTGAGCTATAAATCACTTAACCGAATCAGGATACGCCTAATTAAAATATTATTTATATTTGTTTTTGAAGAAAATATCAATGTGTATCAATTAAATCATCATGTCTCCTATATTACTATTATTTATGACAAAAATAAAAATATGGCTGAAAAAAATATCGATCGGAGAAATATAATTTGACTCACATGCAATTATTCCTTAATTAATAATATCAAAAATGCATGAAAGCATAATTCAAAATTAAAAATAAACCTGAGAAACAATTTTTAAAATAAATTAATTGTGCCTGAACCTAAATATAGAGGTATTTAATTTTCATAACTTAGCTGGTAACTAATTTTTGTGCGTTCACATATACATAATCATAATACTAATTAAAAAGTTAATTGATATAAACACGACACTACAAAACAACGAGTATTAAAAAAGTACCTACATTATAAATTATTTCAATTAAACAGTCCAAATCTAATATTATGAGAATATTCAGTGTATTAGTAGGTATTCTAGTGGCTCACTTTCAGGAAATGTTCATTTTCCAACTCCACTACCGGAATTTTCCACCAATTTAGACACAGTAAACAATTCAATAGGCACTCGACCAACCAAATCTTCATAATTAGCAGTAATATTTTGATTTTCAACGGTCAAATGATTACTTAAAGATGGCCGTCTCGTGTTTAAACCATTCTGATAGCTGTTCTCTGTCAATTTTGATGTTGCTGAACCGATGCTGTCCCTTTTGTTTTTGATTTCGCCGAAACCAGGAAAGTCGAGTGCTGGTATGTTTTTAGCCATTGACCATTTCAGAACGTTTTCCATTATTGTATCTTTGGGGGTTTCTAGGGTTTCGTTATTTGTCGGTAGTTCGGTAATTTGGGGTCTTGAGAATCTTTTTTGATTATACATTCCTAGAATAAAAAGTAAAGTTAAGTATTTTAACAAAACCAAAATGAACAGTGTAAGTAGGTACCGCATCCAAAAATTTGCTGTAGTTTTCTTAAATTATTGCATTAAGCCCAGGTAATAAAATTTTATGTAAAGCGTTTTAGAACATGTTGGCCCTATGAGACTCAAATAACTCTTTACCAACGAAAAGAATGAACTAAGTGAAACTAGACTGAAAAGCGAAGCAGTGAAGAGTTTGAAATTGGCCCGGAACCTCTAAAATCGGATCAGAACACTCTGACCTCAACCTCCATATTGGCGCTGTGCCGCTGTAGAGTAGGTACTAATAATTAACCAAACTAAGCGCCTCGTCATCAGGACCAAGACAATCTTGGACTCAGTTATACATATACGTACGATATCCTCAACTTTAATGTATGGTATAGCCGACAAATTTGAAATTAGTAGTAGGCAACTTAAGATGACAAATAATGAACTCCTAAATCCGAAAAGGCTCGGCTGAACTGCCTTTTTCAGGAAACATCCCAAACGACAAAGTTTTGGTGTAATAAAAAACAATGGGTACATTCAGGCGATCCCAGCGGCTTAGTTCAGCCACTCAGCAGGAACTATATTCTCGAAACAGGGGAGCAGCGTTCTCATGGGAACGAAGGTTCTGTCTTAGTCGTCCGGCATAACACTGACAATGACAGAGCAATCGTTCTTATGCGAACGATGTTCCTTGGTTTCGAGAATAAAGTCCCTACTGAGTGGCTGAGCTTAGCCGCTGGGACCGCCTGAATGTACCCAATATGTATCACATGCTGACTACAGTTCACTGGGGTGTTATTGATTGTTGACAGGTTTTTGTCTAGTCTATTCTTGAAAATGTTCTTGTTTGGTGAGCTAATAGTTTCTTGGTTAAGTGCATTCTATCGGTATACTACGCGGTTCCATAAAAAGTTTTTTCTCAAGGCCAAGGATGCTATCTCTTTCTTGAGCTTCTTGTCGTGCCCTCTAAGTTTTGGTTTGTACTTCCTTAGAACAAGTGGTAGCTCCGAACAGTAGTGTCCGCTCAGGATCTTATCTTTGTTAGGGACTTGCACCTCAATTGAAATTAATACCAGAAGCTTCTTGATCTTGATACGAATTAATACAAGCCCTCTGATTAGAGCAATTTTACCTATCAGATTATTTTTATAAAATAAAATAAAATACCTACATGTTTCAGTTGGAATTTTTGTAATTCTTCGTTGCACACGCTCCAACAGCGCTATATCTTTGGAGTAGGTAGTATGGGTTCCAGACTGTGTGTGTATTCTCAACTTTGGGCCTTATGTAGATTGTATAAGTTTTTTGATTATTTGAATGGAGTGATTGCCAAAGCCTTTTCTTATTAAGTAAACCAGCTGATTTGCTTTCTTCAGAACTTGCCCTATGTGTGTTTCTCATTTTAGACCCTCTGGCTTATATAAACTCCGAGGTTTTTTTGTTGGTTAACACTATTTAGCAGTCCATTTATTTCGTAGTTATTCATTCACATGAAGCACTGTGCATTTCTGTTCGTTTAGTTTCAGCTGACAAGTGTCAATCCAGTGGTGACGCGTGACCAGTAGTCTGGGGGGGAGGGTAAATGGTACCGGGCGTTGAGGGGGCGGTTTCCGAAAACGCGCCGCAGGCGAAATTTTTTTGAAATTTTCAAGGTCATTCACCTGACCGTGTATTTCCTGTATTTAAGGAAGAAATTAGTTCAGTGGTGGTAGAAACCTCTAATTCTATAATGGTCTTTCATGTTTTCATGTGGGGCAGTGTGCCTTTTGAAAGTTCATCAGATATACCTACTATATCTACTGGGTTACCCTCATCAATTTCTTTGGTCCAATTTAAAAGATTCGTGGTGGTTGATCTTTGTGGTAGAAACCCATGTTGAGAATGATAGAATTTTCTAATAAAAATCTTGTGATAGCCTTTACAATTTTTTTTTTAGAGTGTGCAAGTCAGACTTACATGTCGGTAGATTCCAGAATTGTGCTTATCTCTGCTTTTGTTAGAGATTCTGCACATCTTTTTAGAAAAACGGCAGGCATTCCGTCGGGTCCTGGACTTGAATAGGTCCTTAGTTCTTTTAGTACTTCGCAAACTTCTCCTGGTGTGATAATCCTGTTGTTTATTTGGTATGGGTTTCGTGTTTCGTCTGGCATCGTGCGACAGTTATGGAAGCATTTTTTTGGAAAACTGTTCCAAATTGATTGGCGTGAACTTCCGCCGTTTCTCTGGGGTCAGCAATTATTTGCTGACTTACTGAGTCTTTCAGCACTACCGCGGAGTTGACTGTAGAGATTTCTCTTTATATGAAAATAAAATTGTTTATCATTCTTTTCTAGGACTTTCTTCATATTTGAATCTTGCCTTTACGATCATAGATTTCAGTTTGTTGTTTTAAGTCCTATATGCAGCATACTTTTGGTCTGATTTTTTGTTTTGCGTATTTGTCCCATAACTTCCTCTCTAGGTCAATTCCTTCGAAACTATGTGGGTTTAACTAAGGTTTATGGACGTTGGTCGATATAATTTTTCAGGAAAAAATGTATCAATTGTTGTCGTTACGATGATTTCGAATTCTTCGTACTTCTTACATTTGGTTCCATGCCTTGCTAAGTTTCTTATGTATTCGTTGATAGGTTCCTAATTCTCGATGTAAAAGTTTCATGAACGAAAGGATTAACGAGATTCCCACTGTCCTTAGCCACATTACGATGACTGGTTCGCTGGTGCAATTTTGTTAATCTCCACCGAACTGTCGTGTCTTCCATCTTACGATAGGGAAAAGAGGAAAGAACTCTCGAACGATCCCAGAATTCTGGGCAAAGTTCCTGAGCCTCTCACCAGAAAGATGGTAGCAGTACTGTTCGTCTTCCGCAAGAAGAGAGGAGTAGATTATGCGGTGACTGTGGCAACCCCCTCTCCTACTCTCCTGGGGGCCCCCTTTGCGGGAAAACCCCGCCCCTTTTGGGGGGTTTGCCGCCCTTTTCTGCTTTTTTGGTCTCTTTTGGAGTGTACCCCGCCCCTTTTCCGCCATTAGGCTTCTTTTCTCGGCCAATCATGGCTAAGCTCCTCCTCCTGTCCATTCATTGGTCGTTATTCAAAATGACCGCCAACCTACAAAATGGCCGCTTGGCGGATTCCTGGGTACTTGGTGGCTGTAGTTGGCGACAGAGGCGGCTGTGGTGGCGGTGGAGACGGCAGAGGCGGTGGGGCGGCAGTACGGACGATATTTGTTTTTCGTATTTTATTAAAAAAAAGTCTGGGGCTGGGCTCGAACCTATGGTGTCACATCCAAAATCAGGAGTGGGTGTTGGGAAAATTGAGTGAAATTTAAGGCCGCAACGGTACCCCCTTCAAATTATATTTTAGTTCTAAAAAAAAATATAGATGGCGCCAAGATGAAAGCATTTTAAATAATATAGCGATTTCAATTTGCAGAATCAGTGCAACTTTTTTCACTCAGTTCGCACTGATTGGCTAATGGGATTATGGAGGGATTTGTATTTCCATTCCTGGGATGACTTCAAATTTTGTTCTACTCTGTAAAAGTGATGTTTTGTTGTAGAGCTTGTTTTTGTGGTATGTTTAGTAGTGGTAGGTATGAGATTTTCAGGAAACAATTGGCACATGAATGGGCTTACAAATAGAGGAATACTCGGAGGAATAATAAAAAAATAGTCTTACCAGGAGTCTTACACAATTTCAGATATTGGTAAAGGATCCAAGAGCTAGTAAAAGAAATGCAAATCGCCAGATACCTAAATGGAATGCTCTACTGCATTGGTGGATATTATTATTGCACTAATATGCAAGAACACAAAGGAAAAACTCTAATTTTAGCACTTTCCACCTTTTGTAAATAAATTTTAATAATTATTATTGAAGCTTTTTATTTTTTCAAAGACATTTTGTCCTACAAAACACGATCCAATTTTTTTATGCATACCTAGGTAGGTGAAATAGGTACTTTATTTATTTTCAGTGGAAACTAATGGCACAGCATGCTTTGTGTCTATTATTTTATAAACCAATAATAAAAAACAAAACAAATACACAAGGTGAGAAAGAAGTTCTGTTGTTAATAGGCTTTTTTGGAAACGCTGAACAACCTACATCAGCTGCTGCTCCAACGGTTCGGGGTTTTCGAAAACGCCTAAATATGACATCACGAATTGACTGGTGGCGCCATCTTCGAAAAAAAGCCTGAACTAAATTTGCCAAATTATCTGTAATTTTATTCCAAAATCGGATTTAGACTACAAAAAAAAACGGCACATCAGAATTTGCTGAAATTTGGCATAATAGTCAATAGTCAAAACGAAATAAGGACCACTTTTGAAAACCCATCTATTTTTAATGAATTTTGAAAAACCCTGGTAATGTGTTTATTTCCATTCACAATATAAATTTTTTGTGCACACTTTATTTGTTTATCTATTCTTATTGTAAATGGAAATAGTCACTTTACCAGGGTTATTCAAAATTTAATGAAAACCCTGCTCTTAAAAGTGGTCCTTATTTCGTTTTGAGTAGTATATATTGTTGTATTAGGAGTAGAAGCTTCACTTTTTTGTGCTGAAGCAGTAGGTTTGCGAGCCGAACGTAGTGAGGCTTGGAATACTGCTGAAGCACAAAAAAGTGCTTCTACTCCGTATGCAACACGCTATTTTTTCTCCAAACGAATGGGGTAAGCTCGGGGGTAACTGAATGGTTGAGCGGCAGTAAAAGTACGAGCGGCACTAAAAGTACTTTTGCTGCCGCTCCAGCGGCACTAAAAGTACTTCTACTGCCGCTGCAGTTGCCTAGCAGCATAGAAATTAAATTTCTACCACCTCGTCAGGTGTTAACCCGCTGGATTTGCCTACCAGCATAGAAATTGAATTTCTAACATCTTGACAGGTGCTGACAAAGTGACGTTTTTTTGACGTTTGGAGAAAAACATTCTTTGATCGATTATCTAGAGAATAATGCTCTTATT